TTTTAAAATATAATTTTATTAAGCTTTTAAACAATAAGATAAAAACTAACACAAACTAATATAAAGTAAGAAAGAAGAAGAAAAAAGGAAGGAATCAAAGAAAAAGCAAAGAGTACAAGGAAAGAAAAAAAATAGAAAAGAAAGAAAAAGATTTATAAAGAAGTGGCTTCTGATATTCTTTACAGCAGTTATAGGTACAAATATATTTTAACCTCTCTTTCTAACAGTGTATTATATTATTCTTCCTTCTATAATCTATCCTGTCTAATCATCCAAACCATAAATCACAAGTTCATTTTTTTCATTCTTGCACAAAAAGTCCATAAGAGACTTCCAGTCACCAATAAATATAGATAGTGTCTTTTCTCTGATCAAAGAAGTCAATTTATCCATTTCAGCAAAATCTATGAACTTTACCAACCATTTCTCCATAGTGCGCAGTGTCGAATCTTTCCATCTCTGTGCATATAGTTATCTCGCCACAGAACAACAGATTATGCTGTTGACCATATTACAAAACAGCGCAGCAATCCAGATGCCAAAGCTGTCTCCATATCTACTCAGGTGGCAATATAACAGTATGTAATACAATCAGCCCAACTTCAGACCTTTACTCCAGTTCTAGTCTTATATATGCCTATTGTTTGCCAGTAATGATCCACTGGATTTTACAGTAAGCAAACCAACTAATCCCTATGCAAAAGAATAAATGAACCCAAATCTGACATCAAAAGAGCAAGCGTAGCACTGTAAATTTTGTCTGCATTTGTGGGTGGAAGAATCAATATAAGTTCAAAAGTGAATTGCTACCAACCATGCAAGGGTCTCTGTTTGGGCATTCCTGGCAAGTTAGACAAGTACATTAATTGCACATGCATCACTGAACTGACTTTCTGTTTCTCCCACACATTTCCAGGAAGTTATGTAGTTTCTGATTCAAGATGATATGGGAAAATCTTCTAACCTATGAGAACCCAACTTGAAAAATAGAACACTGAAGACCTAGGACCATTAAAAAAAAAAAAAGCATGCTTGTAAGCACCTCTCTTTGCTGTCATTTTAATTTGTGTTGATCCCTTTAAGACCTAAATATTCAGCAAACAAAATTATGTTTATTCTAGCACAACAGAGGTTAACATAACAATGCATGTTGTTCATGAAATGGTTCCCTGAGAACCCAGATATGGAATTTGCCTGAGAAAGAAAAATAACTATATTTCTTTAGTACTCTAAATGGATGAACAGCTAAGTCTGTGTCTTACAGTACTCTAATCTAAATAAGAACAACTGAAATTGAGCATAAATGGCAATGTAAGTGCATATATAACAATGTCTTCTACTTCCTTGCCAACATAAATGGTTGGCTGGGGCCACAGAGGAAGGACCAGGAAATGAACCAAGCCCTTTTAGATACTACATTTCTATGTTTTTACTGGCCAAATAAATCTCTCTCGGAATTTCTGCAACAGAGATTTTACAGGTTGTTCTGCATATGTATTTTGGTACTTCTTCTGACTATAATATGGGGGCATGTTATGCTAAGCTTGGATGATCAAGCCACAAATAGCCTGATAGCTTTATTGCATCTGTAGGTGGAATCAGAGGAAATATACAAACGTGTCTGATGGTGAGCCACTTTGGGATTTAATTACTGTAACTGCAAATTGGATGTAGTTAAGTTAGAAGGCTATTTTTATAGTCTACATTCTAATGTAATCCACTGTTCCTGAATATTTTCTTCCTATCTTTGGACTAACATTGGACTGAAATCTTTCACCATTAATTACATCTTAATATTACCTTGCCCAAATACAATACTGGTTATAAGGTCAAGCTGGCAAAATCCTGACCCAATAGAAAGCAAGCATATAACTGTGCCAGTGAATGATTTCAGGCATAACAATCATCACCATCTGAATGCACAATTGCTTCCACATGGAAAGCTTGCTAAGACTGCATCTGTCACCGGTGCAGCTCCCCTTAACTCAATCTGATCCTAGTTCTGTAAAAAGTCTGTAGACTGAAGACTGAAATGCAGGGATGGGCAACCTATGGCTATCTGGGTGATCTGAACTACAGTTCCTAGCATCCCTTAGTACTGATCCATCTCCAGCCTCCTTTAAGATATTTGAGAGCCCTTGGAGATGATTGGCCAGGATAAGAAGAATATTTTTTTCTAGTCCTAATTAATGCCATCCCAAGGGGCCACTCTGTCTCCAATAGTCCACACAGTTCTAAGAAGAAAGATGAAAAACAAGAGCTTTATATTTCATGTTGGGTTTAGAGTTAAAAAGAAGCACTACATAACTACATTATCCAGAGAACACTTAGCTTCAGAACTGGCAGAGTGAGGAGCTGAAGTCTCTCAATTTAAAGATTAATCTAGATTCTGTTTGGAACACAAAGTAGCTTTACAGTGAAAGAGCAACAACAACAAAAGATAACTCTTAGTAAATCATTTTTCCCCCAAGATGTGAATTTCATGAGGATTGATCAAGCCAGCACCTTTGCTGTCTAGATAGATTTTCTAACCTGCTTTAATCTTATATCTTGGACCTTGCTCTGCACATCCATATGGAAGAACAGCTGTTATATGGTCAAAGTGTTCTCTGCAGCTAATCACCTTGAAAACCAATACCTTTCCAACAGAGGCCAGGAAGGGATGTTTGTGCAGGAGTTAAGCTAACACTGAAGGTAAATACAGCCAGCTGGAACATTGATCATAACTATATGACAAGACACAAAAGAAATTAAAGGCAATAGTTAAGTACTTTATATCACCACTGCCCCTGTCTTAGTAGGAGGAAAATGGCTTGGACCTTAAAATGCAGGGACCTGAATATCTTATTTCAGAATCCATTTATCAATAACAGATTCATACATACAGATATATTCAGGACCATGTATTTTCTCTGCACAGGACATGCTAGAACTTCATAAAATCAACAGTGACAGTGAAAAAGGACTAGTTTTGTCCTTATAGTCTGTATTGTACTGAGCTGCAGACCGCACTGAATACATGGTATAGGTTCAGGATTATACTTCTACTCGCCATGCTACACCTGCTCCCATTTACCATTCACACTTGCAACTTAATATGTGCACAAGGGGCCTGCCTGTGCAGAATCAAATGTACAAAGACCTTATCTGTGCAATCAGCACATATAAACCACTGTACTTTTGGCATCTAAGAAATCTCGACCTGCAAGGTTCTTAAGAAAAGGAAAAGAGGATAAGAGATCAGAGCTTTTAAATATCCCAGTAAGGCAGTAAAAGCAACTGAGGGTTGGGATAGAGGTCAAAATTGTCCAAATAGGCAGAGCACAATGACCTTCTGTGTATTAATGTAATCTCTCTTCCCCATTAGATTACCAGAAACACCTTAACCAAATTACCAGAAGCAACCTAGCTCTACAACAGAACTGGGAACCATCTAAGAGCTGGAAGCAATACTTAATATTTTTCAGGAATGCATGGGCCACAGTAGGAAATTATACAAAATGGGATGAGCCAAACGTCTTTTTGACTTGGCTTTTGAGTGGAGTTTTAAAGTGTTTTTTTCAGTTGGTTTTTTTTTTAATTGTTTATTTATGTTAAACCTACTGCTCTAGATTAGGTCTGAATGTTTCCTCTCTCAAAATAATAGGAAACTACACCACCAATTTTCAGCAGTGCTGGGAGCTTTGAGAGGTACAAAAACAGGATGTAGCTAGGTCCTCAGTTGACCACATGTGGACCACAGGGACAGTTTTTCAGTGTGGGGGCCTGATTATTTCTTTATTTATTTGTTCAGTTTATTACCCTTTCAATCACCAAGGCAACTCTAGGCAGTTTACAGTTTTTAAAAAGTAAGTTTAAAACAGGCAATACTGAATAGGCATAACAGGGGTGCTGTTGGTCTGATGTAACCTAATAATCTCTCTTTTGACAGTAACTGTTCAGAGAAGTAATACTGGTACAGTAGCTTCAGATATTAGTTACTTAGAGAAATCTAATATGTCATTTTGGGTTGAAAGAATATTTGTGCATTTTAATATTAACAAACTAAATATACTGAGGAATTTGTTTAAAAGAGGATAGTTTTGTATTCCAAATCTGAAAAAAATGCATTAAGGCTTTCTATTAAAACTTGAGTTTCAAAACTATGGACTAGATTTTTAAGGTGGTCTTAAAATCAAGTAAATAAAAAAATAATAACAAGGGAGATAAAGTGGGCAAATTATAGATGAGACTATAAAA